CCCGTGTAGCTGGCTGGATCTCAGTCAGCCTGTTGCTAAAAATCAGAACCAAAGTCAGCCGGCTGAACCTCTCCTCGACTAACGCAGGGAGCACACAAGGAGTAATCTGGGGCTTAGAGAGGAGATAAAGGCAGAATTAGCCGAGGTGTGGTGGGGAGGAGCCCCGACAGCGAGGTGTTTCATAAACCATATTTTGTACCTCAGGTTGCCAGGTTCCAGATGTTTGGGTGGAGAACCTCTGACGCTGATTCAGAGTATGGATTAGGAAATTTATGTACACAAGGAGAATACATCCCAACAGATGGGAGTTTTATCTTCCTCAGCTGGCTTAGTTTCTAAATTTGAGACAAGGTCACAATGGGCCTGAGATGTAGACAGAGCAGCAGGCGCCTTGGACTACATCCTGTCAGCTTCACTTTCACACCGTCAGATCAATGAATTACTACCTTAAAACCTATCTCAGGCTCATTACTCACACTCAGATTGTAAGAGTTCTGCTTAAATTCAAGATTACCTGGCAGAGATTCAGTTCAGAAAGAAAAAAGTTAGGAGCTTTCCAATAAACCCCTGAACATAAATGTCATATTCCAGCATAATGACGGAGCGACAGAAGCTGGCGTGAAGAGTCGGTGCTCAATACTAATCTTCTCATGCCCCCTAGTGGCGAGAAAGGGTATGACTAAGCAGCAGAAGCCGTGGGAATTGCAGCAAATTGACAAACATCATATGACGATGGAACATGATTAAGAGTCTTGATTAGACTTGAAATAGTGCCCTGTGTATTTCAACACAATAAAAACAAATTAACATCCAGACGAGACCAGCAGCTTGCAGCGGAACCGGAAATTAAAAAAAAAAAAGGAAAAAAAAAAAAAGTTCCGTCTTAAAAGTCCTGAGCAGCGTCTGGTTGGTGTTAATTTAATAGGTCCTTGTTTTCAGAGGAGAATAAAGTCATTTTGCGCGGCACAAATTTATTCACCCCGATCTGAATCTCATTGATTTCATGCTCTATTCAGCCGGAACACAAAAGATGCCGACTCAGCAGAGAGCTTGACAGTTTCTTTTAAGGAAAGGGTGTACCGGAATGAAGATTAATGCGCTGCAAAAGTAAAAAGAGCTGAATGCCTATTAGTCAATAGTTTTTAATAAAACTCTGCGTCTCCGGTGCGGCGTGTTGTGTAAAATTAGCGACTGTTGCTGCAAAACTGTGGAGGCCCCTGCAGGGGGAAATGTGACGGTCCTTCCAGAGCCAAACGCACTGTTACGCTTCAATTTCATAAAATCTACAAAATCTACAATGCTGTGGAAAAGGTATTTACCCCCTTATTTATAAGGGGGTAAATACCTTTTCCACAGTTCAATCCTCAAAATAATGCATAATAGAACCTGAGTGAGTATCAAGCGCAGTTTTTATTTGTTGATTAAGGAATACATAAAAACATAAAACCAGCCTGGTCAAATGTGGGAAAATGTTTTCCCCTGAGCGACTGTTGACGGAAAGAGCTTCCATCAAGCAACTGGCAATAAGTCTTTAACGTCGCTGTGGAACCTTGTTCAAGCTTGAACAACCTGTTTGCTGTCAGGCTGCAGGTTTACTGGGGAATTTCTAAAAGTAGAAAGAGAGGCAGACCTTCTAGTTATCAGGTTCCTCTCCTGTGGAACCGGCTCACAATTTTAGTCCACGAGGCAGACACCCTGTCTACTTTTAAAACCAGGCTCAAGAATTTCCTTTTGTGATAAAGCACATAGTTAAAAACAGTGATGTTTGCCCAATTACTAGGAGGTAGAGTGTTCGGCCCGATCCGGCGCAGAGGAATTGAATCCTCCTGTTCTCCTTACTTCTGCCTCTCTCATGCCTCTTTCTAATGGGTCAGGTTATCCTGATATATTTCTGTATCTGTGTCGCTGTAGCCTTAGGCTACTGGAGGACAAACTGACCACTTTTGACCACTCTGCTATTTTCTTCTTCTACTACTCTCCAATTTGCATTATTTGCTGATATTTCAACTGCTAACTCTGGTCTGGCGTTCCTGTTGGTTGTGATGCCTTCTTGGAGGAGGGCACTGGTTGAGATAATGCTGGAAAAAATTAAAAGTTCTCCCTCTCCTACTATTAACTTAACTAGAAAGCAGTCTTTTTTCGTAAGCTCTGAATCTCAAACCCCCAGCCATTCGTACTGAGCCAGGTTGTGCTGGACGTTTCTTTCTGTTAAAGGTGCGTTTTTCCTCTCCACTGTCTCCCCATGCATGCCCAATATGAGGGGATTGCTGTAAGTCAATGGCAACACAAGAGATTAACACTTCTTGCACATGCATGTTTGATAACTGGGATGAACTGGAATGTATGTGTGACTGAATTGTAAGTCTCTTGGTACTGTATAAATAAACCGAATTGATCAATATCTAGATTCAAATCCAGATATTGACAAGGCTATTTCAAAGCCTTCATTTTGTTATTTTTTGTATAAATTGTTTTAGCCAATCAGAGGTGAAGTTTCTCTTTAACTTCACATCATTCCCTATCTCCCAAATGCCTCGGAGCTTCAGGTCATAAACTGATGGTTTTCAGATTAGTTTCTGACCCGATCCTAAAGCAGCTCAGCGGTCCCAGACCATCACTTCACTTCCACCGTGTTTGACTGTCAGCATGATGTTCTTTTTCTGAAACGCTGTGCGACCTAATGACCTCCTGGATAGGTTGCTGATGTGCCACTGGAGTAATTTGTTTCCTCCATCCATGCCTAATAATTTTCACTGTCATTTAAAAGAGTCCCAAAGTTTTAGAAAGAGCTTTGTGACACTTTCCAGATGCAAGTGACTTTGTTTTTCATCTGCGTTGGAATCTCTTTCGGTTTTGAGCATCTCTTTGAGATGTTTTGTTCAACTTCAACTTGTTGGGAAGGTTCTATGCAAATCATTTCTAAGATGGGTGAGGATTGTGGCTCAGCGTTGGCACAAACATCTCAGTTAATTACAGGTAATACATGATTTAATTAAAAGAGGTGGCCATTATTATTATGTTTTCTTTTAATGAGGGTCAGGTTCGTTTGGTCAGCTTATGAAATTGTATTTTTGTATTCATTTGGGTTATTCCCAATATCAAAAAGAAAGAAACTCTGTGATTGGGGCAAATACTTTTTCATGGCACTGTAAGTGGATCCCAACACATCCCCCGCTAATGTGATCTCGTGTCCATCTGAAATGCTTCCTGAAGACTTTCTAATGAATATAAAGCACAGAAAAGTCCCCAATTAGCGGGACAGCGAGGAGGTAAGGCGCCTTGGCGCACCACACAAACAAACTTATCTTGACAGGGTCTCTGGGCCGAAGGAGGTAGATGCAGCCCGTGGCGGAGAAGGCCCCAAAGAAAATGAATTACCTTCCTGACAAACGTCAAAGCCAATCACGGCGAGCATCGTCTGCCGTTCCCGCGCCCCAGATCCCCGCCGCCGCGTTTCATCTGCCGGTGTTAGTATGCACACGGGCCGGTGCGTCAGCCTCCAAATGTATTCATTTATTCAGAGCCCCTCGGAGAAATCACAGTGTCTTGTTGTCCTTTTTTTTTTTTTTTTTTTTTCCCTCCGCTGTCCAGATGGAATTTGCGTGAATAACATCAGTTTAGTGAGGCAGAAAATAAGTACAGGCTAGCACAGAGAAGGGGACTGGATTACACCCTCACACAACCCCCCCTCACCTCCACAAAAAAAAAAAAAAAAAAACAAGTGTCACCTTCGCATACTTCATTCTCACTGTCTGTCTCCCCTTTCTCCTCAGTTTCTTCTCTAGTGGCGTCGAAACTTGGCCGGGAGAGGGGGTCACAATTGTTTTAATATCCTCACAATTGGCAGGTGCAATTAAACCAAGCGTCACGATTCAAAGAGTGGAGGGAAAAAAAAAAGAAGAAGAAAGCACGTGCTCAACCGCGTAGGGAGAGCGGCCCGCTCCTCATTTATTCTCCCTTTGTTTTGCATCTATAACGGCTAATTGCATTAATATTTCAGATTCACCTGGAAAAGCACCAGACCCATCTTGGACGAGTAATTGAGATGAAAGTGAGGGGGAGAAAATGTGAATCAATATGTCCAGCTTCGATAAAGCCCAGGAGAAATTAAAATGACTTTAATCACACCAGTGGAGAGCCTTGATATCCATCCCCAACCAAAAAGAAAGAAATCAGCAGGCACTTTTTCCAAGAGACTGAGAGCTTGTTTTTACTTATTAGTGCTGAACTGAAAAGCTTCTATGTGGTGAGCTATACAGTTACTAAACTTTACCAATCAGACACTTTGCCTTGCAAAAGTATTCATACCCCTTGAGATTGTTCATGTTTTCTCACTTTAGAACCGCAAATTTAAAGTTTTTTACTAGAATTATGTGCCATAAACCAAACAACCTAGCATGCGATGGTAAAGGGAAATCACTTGGTTTACAAAAGTTTTCACAATTTAAAAGAAATAAAAAATAAAAAAAATCTCTAAAGTCCACCATTCCTTTCTTTAGAGCTCCATTTCATCTGATGAATAAAATCCAGTGAAACTAATTGCTTCCGGGAGCCAAAATCTAACTTTTTCACCGACATGCTTTACGTCACATTGTGCGTTTCACTCTAGAAACAGTGAAACACAGTAGTGGTGCCATGATGTTGGGAGGATGTTTAACTTCAGCAGAAAAAGGAAAGCTGCTCAACACTCAACGAGCCACAACACAGAGAGAAAACCTGGCAAAAAAAACAACAACAACCCACCTACGGATGAGTAAAGCTGGTAGATTGGCCAAGACTTGCAGCTGTAATTGCAGCAAAACGTTGTACCAAGTATTCCCAAATGGATTTTAAATTTTTCAAAATTTTATTTTGTTAAAAAAAAAAAAAAAAAAAAAATTAAACTGTGTATTATTTTCCTTCAACCCCAGTTGTGCACTACTTTATGAAGGTCTATCCCAAAAAATCCCAATGAAACACAACATTAGGTAAACTAGAGCGGTAAGTGAAACAGAACTTACTTCTCTCAGGACCGTACTGCCGTATCCTCTGTAAAGACCTCGAACACCCTATGCAGAAAACCCACAAACACAGTGAATTTGAAACCGTTTTATACCAACACGGCGCAGTACCCTGAACACCACGTTTCCATGCTGAAACATGGTGGTGGCTACATTAGCTGAAATGACTTAAAAAGCATTTACTTTACTTATTTCACATTTCTACATGCACTAACCAGCTAAAACATTAAAACCACATAACCTCCTCCTGTTGAATATCCACTGGAGGGAATCTTAGTGGCTCAGACTTATTCTAACACATTTTTCCGATACTCCCACAGGTTTGGATCCGAGAAGTTTGAATGCCAAGTAAACCCTTTGGTTTTATTGCCATGTTTCTTCTGCTATATCTCCTTACAACCAGACTCACTGTCTTCCCATGGGAAGCCATTGGCAGTCCAGGAGCGAACGTCGGAACGTCGGAGCTAGAAGAACCGAACAGATGGCAGTGCTGACAAAATAAATATGGTTTGCACACTTTACCTGTCACTGGTTTCCACTGCTCTGCTTACAGTACAACTTGCACAACTACTAATGATGGCAGTTCATTGCTTCTCCACTAATTTGTCCTCCTTGAGCCAAAGTCTTATTTTTTGCCAAAGTCTTATTTTTTTCCAGATTCAAAATTTGTGAAACTGGTGAGCGCAACAGAAATATTGCAAGTTAGAAACAAAACACAAAAAAGCATTATGATTCAGCTACCCGTTACCTCCTCTCTGAGTGTGGCCAGCAGCATGTTGTAGGTGGTGGATGAGGGAGAGGCCTGGGTTCTCTGCTTCACCACTTCTGTAGGCACCCGGATCAAACACGCCACCTGGGAACAAAAAGGAGTCCATCTCCGCTCAGTGAGTGTTGCTAGTTCACTTGTGTGAGAGAAAAAAACAAACATATATATATATATATATATATATATATATATATATATATATATATATATATATATATATATATATATTTAGCACCCTCTAGTCTAGAAATCATCACTGCAATATCTGTGTGTGCAATATCACAATCGCAAAGGACTGGATTTTATTTGTAGAGGGGCCCTGCAGGTTGTGGAATCCTACATTCATATTTTCCTGAGCTCCCTTCACAATTACTGGTGAACTTTTAATTAAAAAAAGTATTTTTGGAAGGCCTAAGATAAAGTCCTCTTTTCTTTGTAAACCAAGATCTTAAACAGAGTATTTTGTTAATTCAGTTAAAAATCCAAACTTTCACTTCAGTGGCATTTATTTGCGGGGAGGAAAACAGAAATCCAAGATATCATTGTTTTTAAGAAATCATTGGTACCACCATTTTTGACACAACTATCAGTTACTATAAGGAGAATTTCTTTATTTATACTTGATTTGAGTGTCTAGAAACTCTTAGCTCGTACTTCGAGCGTTCATGTTTCTCTAAGCTGCATAATATAAAACACCGCCATAATTCTTTTATCCCCTCTCAATAATGGAAAAGACAAATTGAGATGCTAATAAACTAAGGTAAGCTGTTCATCTTACCACAGTAAGATGAACAGCTTACCTTACTAATGACCTGAAACAGGTCATAACTAGCAAAACAGCTTTCCTGCTAAACTTGTACATGTCTACAAAATAATATTTGAAAAGAATAAAATGACTAAAAAGTCCGTCAACATGCACAGTTGATGGATTCCACAGCTGTCAACGGAGGTTTAAAAAAACCTCCTAATTTCACACCTGCAGAGCTGACAAGAACAGAGAGGACCCTTAATAATACAGCAACATAAAAAAAACTGTTTACATCACAACTGCTTGGAAACTCCTTTGTGTCTACTATCACAAACATAAATATGCAGGATTCCTTTAAAACGTGTGCTTTGGTCAAAGGAAAAGAACGCCGAATATTTCAGCAACAAATGGATTAGGAGTGAAGCAAAGGTTAAACATGGAGCTGCATAATGAAGAGAACTGCAGTATAACTGTTCTCTACAGTTTAGTCACATGAGATTCCTTGGATTTAACATTTGCTAAGACGTGGCATTTTAACTCAGCACAACATATTGCACAGTTATTGTTATATCACTGTACGACCTATGCATATCGTGAAGAACTGCCTGGACTGCAAAAAGTGATAGCCAATTATTTAAGTACAATGCATTCAGGCCCTCCTTGCATGTAGTTGGTAGCACTTGTTTAATGCAGCATAAACAAATCTTTACATGAGAAATAGGTGGTAAAGTCAGTTAGCAACTACCGCTACCTTGTTTTGATATGAAAATAGCAACTATAAGTAACAACATCATGAAGAGATTGAGGCAATCACTTAAATTATGTGAAAGGCAGTAGGGGCCCGTTTTGTCTTCTGAAATACCAGTAAATGCCAAATAAAAACGTGGTGGACTCTGCAAGAAAACTTAAAACAAGTCTTTATGTTTTTCAGTAGGGTAACGATCTCAAACACACGATTAAATCAACCCAAAAATGGAAAATCAACCTTCTTCCATTGCTACCTAGAGAGAACCTAAAGACAGTCTGCTAAGAAAGAAGAAATTTCTATGAACCTGTCTTTGAAATGTTGCTGGAGAAAATTAATAGCAATCCTACTGATAAAACCAGCAGTTTTCCATCCACTAAATCAATTTGCTCAATTAAAAGTTGGATCTTCTTAAATATTTCAGTGTGTGGTCATGCTGCTGCTTCACCAAGGAAGCCAATAAGTGTCAGCGGTGCTTTATTTTACCCTCCTGGTCTACATGACAACATGACATCTGACCATAATACGGCGTGTGAAGGGAGCGCTCGCATGTAGCAGCCAGACGAGCAACCGCTCCAGTTAAGAGTGCAACTTGGCTGGCCAACAAACAGCTACAAACAGGCGACACGACGCAGGTGCGGCGGCTGGCGCGTCTGCAGAAGGTCATCAGGCCGACCGTGTATCTGTGTCCAGAGAACATGCTCCTGTCAAACACGCTGATAGATTCGGACACGCGCTCGCACCTCGGTAACCGCGCGCTCTGCTCAAGTTCCAACCCATCCACCATATGTCAACAAAAATATGGACTGCCAACAGCAAGTGAAGATAGACATGAATATTTATGCCTCCTAAAGGCGGACAGGCAGGCGGGCGCAGCTGCCCACCTGGCAACTTGATTTCCCCATTTATCCTGCGTCGGCGTGGAAACGCCAGCTAACGGCGAGCGGTTCTTAACGGAGCGACTGCCGGAGCCGCCCTCCAGCCCTCCACCAGCCTCCCCCAGAGACCCCAGAGTGGCGCAGATGCCCGCTGGCTGGTCCCACCCTCGCCACGGTGGAGTCTGGTGAGGAGGGATGGAGGGCCCGATGAGATGAAAAGCGTCTTTTTCTTTACTCTCTGTTGCTCCTTCTCGTTTCAGCGGCACTGAGAGCGAAACATAAGGCTCTCTGGCCGTGAGGGAGAGGACAGTACCCCGACAGCTGTTGGAGGAATCATTTTAGACAGGCACTTATATTTCCTACCATTTTTTTTCTTCAGTCTGCCACGAAGGAAACCTTCAGAGCAAAAACACGGAGAGGCACCAGGAATGTTAGAGTCTTAGACACGGGAAATACAGGTTGACGATACGGATTTAGACTTTATCGTAATATTTTTGCGATACTGTTGTGATAACAATAAAAATGACGATAAAAAAACGATTTGTTGCTTTTTTTTTTTTTTTTGTAACTGTATGGATGCAAATGCATGGCACAGCATTCATAGAGGTACAAACACAAATACTGGTCTTGAAAAACATTCCCATTTGAAACAGAAAGTTAAAGAAGTGTGACTGAAGCTACACAAAGTGACTGCATTTAATCTAATTTTAGAATTTACTGATATTTGTTGATTATCTCGAGAAGCAAACAGTAGAGGAAAGAGTAAAATTAACACTTCAGATAATACTGTCAATGTTTTTAACAACATTCATTGAAATGTAGAGATATGTTATCTCGGTAACAAATTTTTTATGATAAATAATAAACGATATGAGAGATGCCCACCCCATACAGGATACATAAAGCTGAACAAGTAAAAATTTTGGCTGACTGAATAAAAACTTACTAACTACTAAGTTGGGCTAATTCTGTACTGACAGTACCTTGAAAACGTATTTGTACCTTTGAATCCTACTATATTTGCTACTATAGTTGCAGATCATCAATGTGTTTTATGTGGCAAACCAAGACAAAGTGGAGCATAACTATGGAGAGGAAATAAAAGGATACATGGTTTTGTTTTGTATATATTATTTGTTCTTCATCAATACAAACCTGTAAAGTATGACATGCATTCATATTCATCCCTATTTGCTCTTAATACGTAGAAAGTGACCTAATAGTAACTGTGCTCAATGTATTCTCAACAGTTTTAACAGAACTAATCAGCTCCACAAAAACTGCCTTGTGTGGCAGAAGACTGACAGTGCTGGCAGCATTATGCTAATGGAAAGTTGGTGACAGTTAATATGAAGATGAATGGAGCTCAAGACAGGGCCGTCGTGGATAAAAATCTGTTGACAGGACAAGTCTAGGTTGTGCACTTCACAATGCTGGACGTGATGGAAGAAGTGCAGTTACTAATGAAGGACAATGGATCTGAGTTTGTGTTAAAAAGGCTCAATCCAGACCTAGATACTATTGAGAATGTGTACTAAGATTTGCCGCTGATGTTCTCAGACAGCATCCATCTAAATATTTAAATCTCTCGAGCCATTTGACAGACTTAAAGCAGAGAAATGAGGTTCTGTGCTACAGTTTTCTACCTTGTGTAGGTCTTTAACATAAAATCTCAATAAAATACATTGGGTTTTCTGGGTACAATGTGACAAAAATGTAAAAAAAAAAAAAATAATAATAATAATAATTAAAAGCCTGTGAATCCTTTCTAAAGCGCTGCAGAATTGGCCTTTATAGCATCAGTCTTTCTGCAAAGCTGTGGAGATTCTCGCCCATTAATTTGGTACACAGTGAGAAGATAAACCTTCATTTCTGCACTTAAATGAGCTCAAAGAGCCTCTGTGAAGAGTTATGTGCAGTTACCTATTAATATTTGTTCATGAGCATTAAAGTGGTTAAGGTGCAAGTTAAAACGTGGAGCAACACTGCCACCAAGGGGCGGAACTAGGACCTGTGTGGCTTCATCGTCACTGTAGGCTAAAATCCAAGTGTTAAATCTCGTTTGTGGTCAAGTTAGCATCTGTAAAACAATCCGCATCATGTTCCCCCAAACCAATTCTCTGAGAAGGCACATAATAAGACCAGTGCACAAAGAGAAAGTGGCTATGACAAGTAATTACTGATGTAATTGTCCAAGGGACTTGGGCATTAAATATGAGTCTCTCTTGTTTCTGGAGCAGGTAACAAAGAATGAGGCAAAAAAATTAGTCCTAATGCATTAGAGACACTGTTTATTTGGCTGGGAGTTGTTCTGGGCGGTGAGGAGGAGGAGGAGGCTGCAGCTGTATTCTTTTTTTATTATTATTATTTTAAACATGCAAATGGTAAAATAGAGATGGTGATGGTGATGGTGAGATACACAAAAATCTAGCATGGCATGTATGTCTTGATTCATGTCAATCTCAGCATTTTCCTGTAATCGTTTTAGTTCTGTCGGGAATCCACCACTAGTTTGTTAAATAATGGGGGCTAAGCGACTCTAATATCAGGCAAAAGAATATATAATTTGAAACAAGATAAGTATACAATTTAAACATTAAGCAACAAATATGTGCAATTTATTTACAAAACGTGCAAATAACTCTCACCATTCAATTGTAATACTGTCTCATTAAGCAGCGTCCCATAGTTTCCTGTCGTCTGTCAACTTTTCCCA